GTGCCGAATAAGAAGACAAGATAATTATTGTATATAAATTTTTCCTTCAACAGACTTTTTGTGCAAGTCTAACAAATATTTCGAAACACCACAAAACCACTTAAGGGACAATTTTTTAATTAAAACTTGCAACGCCTCACACCAAAAGAAATACATATATATGTACTCGTATAAGTAAACTAAACGTTGCCTGGTCTATGAAAGTTTAGTAATAAAAATAAGAAATATTAAGACAAAAATTGCGAAAGAATACTCACAATATTTGATGAGCTGTCAGTGTTTGCCGACTTGTCCGTCAATTCTCGACTCACTGTCTTCAACCACAACAGCAGCAGCCAACAGACGCTGTGAGGCATTCATTTTGTTGTCCATCAAAAGGGTATAGTTACAAAGTTACTCTGTTACAAACATATATATGTACATTAGGGTGGTCCTTATATATAGCAAACAAATTTTTACTACACAATTCCTAAGCCTCAACCCCTACATCGTTGCTACTATAATCGACATATATGTAAATTTTGGTCCCGATTTGAGTCGGTTAAGGCGTGTCCCACAACGCTCAAAGTTTAGGGTAATCTGAAGACGTTTTAACCGACTCCTATCGTAACCAAAATTTACATATATGATTCTTCTTTCGTTCTTAGTAGTATCAATTTTGGGTATTAAATGAAAAAAAAACAAAATTTTTAATTTCTTGGATTCCATAGAGGCATCTGGCATTTGACCATTATTTATATGTGATATCTGTGACCGTAGTTTTACCGATTGAGGTGGTGAGACTGAAAAAAACGTTCATTTTTTAAGGACCTGCCTAATGTTCATACATACACTTTTGTATGACTATATATAGTAACCTCCATATTATTTATATCTAGTATATATAGTTCAGTAAATAGCCTATGAAAAATGCGTGCAACCAGTGGCGAATTTAACGGTCAACAAAAGAAGCAATGTTTACTGGGCCCCCAACAGAAGGGCCCCAGTGCTCTCACCAGCAAATAGCTCAAGTCAAGTCATTAACGATAAAACATACATATACATACATATGTACATACATATATGTGAAATATATAATTTTTGAAAATAAAGGCCTTAATAAACCTTTTTTTTTACAGGAGAAGCAAAAAACATTTTAAAAAGAGCTATCCAAGGAATGCGATGGACGGGACAAGGCAAGGTAAGCGTGGAGTCTTGCGACATCTACTACGGCTGCTACGTAAAGGAGCGCAAATTCGTTGTTGGATTTGTGGTGGAAGAGAGGCTGCGGCGCCGAGCACCCGTTTTCAGCCTGTTGAACGAACGTTTAGCCTAAATCAAAGCTAGATTCGTTTGATAGACGGAATGCACGCTTCCAGTGTTTTAGACGTATGTACATTCCGAGAGCTTAACATCGACTCGGAACCGATCTTGTTGCAGCCAAGATACGCACCAGCCACTGTGCAGAAAAAAAAATGTGCGCCCAACAATGCAAGGAAGGCCTAACGCCGAAACGCTGCAATCACAACAGACCGCTAATATATTCGCCACTCTACTCACACACCTGCTCTCTGAGAGCTCTCTTCAACAATCCGAAATACGCGAGCAGTGAAACTACACTTTCAGCTCGCCAACAAAGTAGACGGATTTCAGCGAGCCCGAAAGAACTAAATATTAGTACGATGAGGACTGTCAAGACGCTGCGGAAAAAAAAATATACCGCCTACGGAGCCACGCTGCGATCAACGCGAGCCATGTGGGACGCAAGTTATGTGGGATCGTTAAAGAATCGGCGTGCCTCTTTAGCTAAAAACGCACTCAATAATATTTCTCTATCTTTTATATTGAAAGGCAAGTTGACACAAACATACATTCATATTGACCCTTTCGCACATGTTGGACACAATGTTTATACACATGTTGCGATTCTTGCAGGGATACACTTGTGGCAGTGGTGTTGGCCTCAACCCCTCAAGCTGCTGTTACAATTTTTCAAACAGGTGCCAACCCTCCTCAAAAATATATTCGGCAGTAAACTTTCCTAAACCTCTTCAGTTTGATACGCATATTGCAATATTCGATTTATCTTATACACTTAATTAAACAAAAATTTTCAAACAGGTGGCGACCCTCAAAAAATATGTTCGGCTATAAGCTTTCTTAAACCTCTTTATTTTGATGGCCATATTGTAATATTTACTTTTTCTTTATCAATTTATTTAAACTGGCAGTTTTAAACAGGTGGCAACTCTAAATTTTTTTTCATTCTATATTCTAAGTTGGACCTCTTGCAATACACTGGTGAAAACTGCATTCAGTTCCATGCATTAGTCTACGAGTGATCCGCGTACAAACATACAGACAGACAAAAATTCTAAAAATTGTTGATTTGGCTTCTGTTGCTCTAATAAAGACACCCCACATTAATTTTTCCTTAATATCTGTAATGTACAGCTGTTAGAATTTTATTATATGTATAGATTAGTGACAAACTCAATGTGTTTGGATTCCGCAATGGAAATATTTTCTGAACAAAAAGTAAGACGCGGATTTAAAGTTGCATAGTAAAACCTTTCGGTATTTAATAAAAATTATTCGACATACCGTTTGTATTAGTCGGTTTACGATATGTGTGTATAACAAAACTGGGCCCCGAAGAGATTGCTGACTAAGCCCTTTTTCTCAAATCCGTCACTGCGTACAACAGTCGCTCATAAATTGGCTGCAAACATTGTTGCGATAGCAGCAGCATGGTGAACTGCAATAACTGCAATTAAGTGCATTGCCATGCAAGGTAAACTTAGAATTATCGACTCACACACACACACACACACACACACACACACACACACACATAGATGGAGGGCAAATACTCACTTACGCACTGCAATCAATCAAGTGCAGAGCCTAGCATTTCGCTTAAACAACATTTACTACCGTAATTCTAGATGTAAGATTTCTTTTTTTCTCCAGTTGCCTGCCACACATACCATAATTTTAAATGCATGCGCGCGCATTTACACGCACATACTACATTTTCGCATATCAGTATGATTATTTGTAAGCGCACTCACCTTTCCGTAACTATTCAACGGCCCATTTATCCAGCGATCGGCCTCTAAACGACCGCTCAACAAAGCGCCTGTATCTGGATCGATGCGTTGCCATTCACGCACCTCACGTTGGAAAGGTGAACGCGGCGAACCATCGCCAATCGCACCATTGCCGCCAGCATCTGTTGCGTCTGCCGTTGCGCTGATTACGCTGAGGTGCAGATTTGGTTGCTGTTGCCTAGCCATAGCCATTGGTATGCGATGCGCTGGATGTACCAATTGATGATGACTATGAAGATGCGGATTATGATGATTGTGATGATGATGATTATTTGTTGTGGCTACTTCCATTTTATTATAATTATATATTTTTTCAATTTTTTCACAATTCAGTGCGAATGTTGCATGCTACAATGCGTTGATTTGGTATGCGCTGTGCGTTTGCTACTTTTTCTTCAGTTACTACTTCTGCTGTTGTGTTATTTCCTGTTCGTGTATATGGGTTTTTTGCTTCTATTATTGCTCTCTTTTATGCTACAATCGTAGTCTGCTAAGAGTACGTTCGTTTGCTTCTAAATTAATGGCAAGTTTAATTTATTATCATAATAATAATTTACGCTACACGCGAATTGCATTTATTTAGTTGAACGTTGGCGCTGCTACTGTCTGTACATAAGTGTATGCGTGTGTTCAGCGAGATATTATTATCCATACACATCTATGTATGTATGTATGTAAGTGGAGTGGAAGACTGACCAGTTCACGCTCTGATTTTCACATTTGTTGCTGTTTCAGTTACTTGCGCTTTGCTGTAATTAAAGCGAGAAGAGAATAGTTAAATTTTTAATTCAAAGCACAATTTTCATTAATATGTAGAAAGCTGCAAATGTTTAAAAAGCTTAGGGCGCAGGCTTAAAACTAACAGCTGGCCCAAAAAAACAGAACAAATAAACCCTTAATCAAAGAAAGTTTATCTAGACATAAATCTCAACGGAAACTTCATTAATTTTTTTTTTGAGTTTAATTAATTCATATTTTACTTGTATTATAGCTACGAGCTGGCATTCTATTTAATTATCGCCCAGCTTTAGTTTCAATTCACTGCACAAACCTTTCACTCATATTATAGCAAAATATTCAACCCGTTGTGCTACGGGAATTGTATTAAAAAATACCCTGTAAAAAATGTGTCTTTTTAAATCTTATTTTAAAGGGTGCTCAGGTAAGTTTATTAAAAAATGGCAATTAGAGGGTTAAAATGTTTTACAGCGATCATAAATAGGACATTTTTGTGCGCTTCTCTGAAGGTGAAAATGCGCTCCGATTAAATGAGAATGACTTATGTATGCATAGGTGGTGATCTTAATTTAGACTAGTGCCTAATATCTTATGACTTTAAACGAAAAAAAAATTTAACAAAATCTGTTATTTTCTATATTTTTCCCCTGCTGTAGTTTGTATTTTTTAATTTTTTCATCGAAAAAAAATCTGGAATATTTGATTAATTTCTCAGGTGTGATAGTATGTACCTATCGAAAAATGATGTATGTATAATATTTTTGGACCACCCTAACGTATATACGGTTTATCGAGAATTTCGTCAGTTTTCATTTACCACATTTCGTATTTAGATAAGTCAATTGCCTCGCAACATACATATACGTGAGTAAGTGGAACTACTTTGTTGTTTAACTGAATAACGGTAAATTGCAAATATCTCAAAAACTAGTTCATAGAAAAAACAAATTAACTCGATTTTCGGAATAAGCGAGCAATTCTACATAAGGATTGGCTAGTGACATTCACTGAGCACTTTTGCTGTAAAGCAGTGATATTATTAAATTGGTAATTTTATTTCATAACATATTTCAGAAAGAGAGAAATGTTTCAGCTCCGAAATATTTATCTATAGTAAGATATTTTGGTATAATTATTACTTTTCAAATATTTTTTTTATTAAATATACTAGCATACATATGTTCATACTCGAGTTTTATTTTAGTTTGATTTTTTTGAGCCAGCTTTATTTTTATTTTTTATAATGAACTGCTTAGTTAAATTATTACTCGAGGCTGACTGATCATTCATAACTGCAATACTAACTATTGGTTGAGGTGAATGTAAAGGAAATGAGATGAGGTGAGGAGAATTGAAGTGATAAGGTGAGGTGAGGTGAGGTGAGGTGAGGTGAGGTGAGGTGAGGTGAGGTGAGGTGAGGTGAGGTGAGGTGAGTTAAAATAAGTTAGATAGAGTGAGGTGATTAGTGGAGAAGTAAGGTGAGCAATATTACGCGATATATCTTCATCGCTGCCTATCTCTGTCCTTTTATTTTTATCTGTGCCTCTGTCTCCATGTTTACCTTTTTCTTCATATTTATATTTATCTCTAATGTTTTTTTGTTGTCTTGGCCTTTGATTTTAGTTTTGCCTTTCTCTTTCATTTCGTCTTTGACTTCGGCTTTTTCTTTGCCTTTGTATTTGTGTGTGTGCTTATTTTAATCTTAATCTAATTTTTTATCTTAACTTTAATGTTAAACTGGATGTTCATCTTCCCCTTCAACTTCATTTTCATCGTTGTGTTCGTCTTCGTCTTCTTTCTCTTTCTCTTTCTTTTTCTCTTTCTCTTTCTCTTTCTCTTTCTCTTTCTCTTTCTCTTTCT